GAAGTGGACCATTCCAGGTTGAGCTCCTCCACCGCCTTATGATATACTGCCCTGATGATATGATATGCAGCAGATCCTGATCTGTGTGACTAGGTTTGTAGATCTCGCTGTGATGGGAGTTGGAGTCCTCCATGTGGCTGGCTGACCAATCTTCCAAATCTGACCCCAAGGTGGACATGGCATCGTCACAGTCTTTCTCCGGGACGCCAAGAAATCCACCGGAGAGAGTTGATCTGGAGAGCAGGGGGCACGCGGGCGTTGGCTTCCGCAACCAGTGGCCGTTGCTTCTTATTTTGCGGCTCCGGAGGAGTGGCAGAGGAAAAGGATGGCAAATGGGGAGTAGATGCGTCACTGAGTCCGAGGCCTATCCTCCTACGGAGTGTCCTGACACTCTTGGTGTCGCAGTAAGGGTAGTTGGGCTCCTAAATGGCGGACTTTACCTGTCATGATCGTCAGGGAGCTGTAGAGGTCCCGAGCAAGAAGAACAAAGTTTGAAGGACGTGTCACAACTTTGCCAGAACGCTGCAGCAGGGCTCTACGCTTACTTTTCTTTTTAGGAGAACTTGTGCTCCTAACGTAAAAAATTTAGGAGCACGTTCAAAATTTTAGGAGCACCTTCTAAACAATTATCCAAAATGTTATCAAAAAGTAGCCTTCCCATTACGAGGTGATATTTGACTCCTCTAACTTTATTAAAAGTATGTCATCTTTTGTCAAATTCTTAAAAAATTATATTTTTTATAAGCTTTTTAAAAATTGTAATTAAAACGACAGAATAAGAACAAGTAGAATAAGAAATATAAGTTACCAATCAAATTAAATCAGTATTAACACAATTAATTTGTAGAGGTGGCACAGAAGAACACAAAAGTGGCTTGGTGTACTTTCAGACATTTAATGAGTCTCAGAAGTGGAATGAGTGCAATTAAATCCATAAATTCATGATGATATTAATGTTTTAAATATAACATTTTGAATATAGAAATATTAAATAACTGAAAAGATACTTTTAAAAATGAAACAAACTGCCAGCATGTGGCGGTAAGTCACTGATTTTTATCACTGAATCATTCATTCAATTGATTCATTCGAACGGCTGATTCATTCAGGAATTAATCAAGTGACTGTCTTTATGAATGGGTAATCATGAATCACTGACTCACTAGATTCATTAAAAAAAACACGTTCATTCATAAACGAGACACCGCTGTGTTTGAATGGAGATGCGCAGCGGCTGAGCTGTGACTTTGTTTTAAACTATTTTCAACGACGAAATAGAGCAAAATCAGACATAGTGTTATAGTCAGACAATGTAAGTCACTTAATATTAACTTCTTGTTTATTGAATTGTATTGTATTAAATCAGTATCACATTTACAAACTCCTTTAAAAATCATTAAAAGCTGGCACTCATCTTAGTTCATCTCGATCTCACATCTATAATCAACGAAGCTCTCTACACTGCGCAATGAATCTCTCACTTTGCTTATGAAAGGATTCGTGAGATATGTCTGTGATACATTACTCAACGCTGCAAAAACATGTAGAAACATTTGAAGCTCCCCTGAGCGCAATCACAAGTATGATGATGATCGGGTCAGTCGCACTGGTGCTCCTAAAAAAATGTTTATAGTCGCACGCAGTAGTTTGCGACTGAAATGGTCGCACTGTAGAGCCCTGTGCAGAGGATTGAGATTTAGTCACATTTGCGATGACTTGATGACGAAGGAGAGGCTTCCAAATAATTCAGGTAAAGGAGAAAGATTCTCAGGAAAATGGTGCCAAGCGCTCCGTTATAAGGGGTGCCACGCCCCCTAATTTCAATGCGCCATTGGCCATTGTAGAGTCAGGCTTCAGTATTCTAAAGAGAAAGGTGTTTCCCCAATGTGTTAGCAAGCTGTACGTAACATCGAGAGACATCTCGAAAGGGAATTACTAGGAACGTCTTGCCTTATGAACAACTGGTGCAACCGAATAATGTATAGATTTAGTTACACTAGCTATTAGTTACTAAGCCTCTAGTGTGGACTTAACATTCTGATTTAAGTAAGAACTTAGGGTGCAACCCTACCCCTTGAGTAAATACAAACAAAATTATGTCTGAATGGCTCTTGACGAGTATTCTCATAAGTACAGTATAACGGATCTGTGCATTTCTTATATTATTAATGTTAATCAAACAGCAAAATAGAAAGGGGGCATGTCCTAAAAGGTTGAAAACCACTGCTCTACATAATCTACTCACAATTCAAAGAAAAGTTTTGTTTGTCATTAGGGCCTTTCGCAGCGCAGGAACCTTTTCATAGTACCAGAACTAATTGTGGAACTACCCACTTTTTGGCGTGTTCGCACCACCGGAACTGGGAGCGATTTTAGTACCGGACTGCCTTTTTCGAGAACCAAATTAGCTCTTACTCAGGAGCAGGGTCTAACCAGCACAACTGGTACTAATCGTGACGCAAGTAGACATTGATTGGCCAAACGCATACGAAAACCCCCTCCCCCGCCATGATTTAAAACGCTGTGTAAACATACTGTAAACATTGTGTCAACTTATTTCGCAAGTATGGAGAACAGCGATAGATGGACGGATGCTGAAGTGCAGGCACTTGTAGCAAATGTAGCACTGCCAGCTGTCGTTGGAGATTCTCAGTTCTCCTTTCCGTTCTTTCAATCTCTTTACGTATACGTCGACTTTCCATGTCCATTATTGTGAAACCCGCGAGACACAACAAAAACACAGCTCCGATCACAGCGTCCTCCATCCTCCTGTTGTTAATGTTGTTTTTCTTTGTTTTCGTTGTTGAACGCCGCGCACAAATGACACAATCTCGGTGCGAATGCAACCCTTTAAATGGTACTGGGAAATAGTTCGCACAAAATCGTCCCAGTACTTTAGTACTGTACATTTAGTTCTGGAACTAAAGTGGTGCGAAAGGCCCTATTGCTATGTTTGACAGTGAAAACATAGCATATGGACAGAACAAACTATCTGACAGAGTAACAAAACTACAGCAGCAAAGAAGTCTGTGTTGGCTGAATATATTTCTAACTGCAGCTTCTACAGTTAAAGATAAAACAAAGCACTCTTTTTGATGTGTCCTTTTTAAGGCAATGTTTTACAAATATAGTTTTTAAATTAAATATTAAAATATGAAAAAATATTTAATGCATTATTATTTAAATGTACTTGCTACTAAAATTTGTTATAATAGTAATTTTATAATAAACCCAAAAGCAAAATGTGAAAACTAGGGAGTGTAAATGGCAACTGAGCTAATGAGTGTTCCTCCGCTGCCATCTATTGGTTATATGTCAATATGTCTGGCTATATGTCATTTTCATCTTAAAAGTTTTTGTTTTCCACCAGGATTTTTAGCACATTTTTTCATGTCATGAATGAAAAGTGAATCTTTAAAGTGAATTTTTACTTTACAACTTGTAGATTATGGTCTTGGCCACCGTGCTGCAGCTCAGTTTCAGGGTCTTGGCAATCTTCTTATAGCCAAGCCATCTTTATGTAGAGCAACAGTTCTTTTTTTTCAGATCCTCAGAGAGTTCTTTGCCATGAGGTGCCATGTTGAACTTCCAGTGACCAGTATGAGAGAGTGAGAGCGACAACACCAAATTGAACACACCTGCTCCCCATTCACACCTGAGACCTTGTAACACTAATGAGTCACATGACACCGGGGAGAGAAAATGGCTAATTGGGCCCAATTTGGACATTTTCACTTAGGGGTGTACTCACTTTTGTGGCCAGCGGTTTAGACATTAATGGCTGTGTGTTGAGTTATTTTGAGGGGACAGCAAATTTACACTGTCATACAAGCTGTACACTCATTACTTTACATTGTAGCAAAGTGTAATTTCTTCAGTGTTGTCACATGAAAATATATAATAAAATATTTACAAAAATGTGAGGGGTGTACTCACTTCTGTGAGATACTGTTTGTGTATATATGTATATATACTGTATATATATCACTGAAAAACTAAATATTGCAGTGTCAGTTTTTTTTCCCCTAATGTCGTGAAGCCCTAATATTTTCTAACAGTGCCTGTGTAGGATCTGTAATTCAGTAAAATGACAGAATTGCTAGTGAAGAGTGAGTAGAATTGTTTATTTTTGCAAGGCACCGTTATTCAATTAACTGTAATGGCAAGAAATTAAACAGTTCTTATAAAAGCTCACACCATTGCACATGTATAACTCCATTGCATGGTTTTGGGGAACATTGACTTTAGAGTAGTACTGAAGTGGCTGAAAGTCACATTTGAGGTTTTAATTTAGTTCTTAACACAAAAGCACAGATATACCAACAGTCAGTTTGCCCATGAGTACTATAGCCACTGTAAGCACAAAGCATGCGTTTATATGTTTTACCAACATTGGCTGAAACGTATTTGGAAAAATTATTTGTTTTTAACTTTATTGTGAAGGCAACACTTTTTAGGGGTGATGGTTTGAGGGGGGATTTCTCAAAGACACTTAAAATTATCTTCTTTTCTGTATCTGATGTTCTATGTGCTATTAGTGTGATGCAGCCAACATGAACGGTTGTCTTGTGTTGCACACCCTTTCCAACACTGCGACACGATCGCCCCAGGGAGAAAAGCGCCCATGCTTGATATCGTATGGTTCATGACCAATATGTTTCCAGTACAGGTGACCCATACCACAAAGTGTTAAACTCATTCTCTTCATGTTCTGTTCTGATCTTTTTTTTTTAAGAGAGAAAAGGACTAATCAAAATGTTCTTTTCTCTGTTTTTGTGCAAAAGTCATCCTGTTTACAGTATGTCTTGTGTTGATAGTAAAAAGAGAGTAGCTATGCTAGTTCAGATTGTTTGATTGTTCATGGTCGGGGTTGGAGATGCTCAGGGTGGGTGTTAGAGCGCTAGGCTGTTAGAGAACCCTCCTCTGAATCTTGGGTTGTAGGTAAAGCAGCTGGAGATGTCTCCATTGGCCTCTCTAATGCCAGTGCTCTTGTTCTTCAGGAAAAATCCCTGAAGAGGCAAAGGCGCTCTCACTTTTGGCCCCCGCCGCCCCAGTGACCAGCCTGATGAGCGGAGGAGGACTTCTGCCCATTCCTAGCCCCACTACACTACAGAATGTAAAAACACAATCTCACAAATTAAGGCTGGAATACACTACACTGTTTTCCCCCCAGATTTGCAGTTTGGAAGAGCCGGTGATAGTTGTTGAAAGACTATGAGGGGCCGTACAAGCCATAATTCATTCTATGAGGGGCCGTACAAGCCATAATTCATTCTGGCACTCTCACACACTTACATTCTCCTTTCACATGCATACATTTCCACTCTCACACACATACATTCTCCTTACACATGCATATATTTTTTGCTTTCACATACTTACATTCTCCTTTCACATAGCATACATTTCTACTCTCACACACACATACATTCTCCTTTCACGTACATATATATATAGAATGCATGTATGTCTGAAGAAAATATGTGTATGTAAGAGAAGAATGTATGTATGTGTGAGAGAGTAGTCGAAACGGAAGGCGTATAGTGGAAACGGAAGGAGTATAGTGGAAACGGAAGGCAGGTCATGATCAGCATGGCTGACGTAGATGAGGCGGTTATTGAGGTATAAGTATTTCAGGAAGCTATTTGGATTAATATATATATATACTATCATCGTGAAAAGGTTACATGGCCTCGTCCCTTGAGCGAGTTGTGATTGAGGACGCGGGCTCAGCCTCAGTTTTTTTTTTTTTTTAGCTTGAGACAATGATTCTATCCAGTCGCAGGATGTTAAATATTGATATTTTTGGGATGATTTTAGAACACCTATCATTTGTATTACTTGCGTGTCTGCTAGTAATGAGGCATGTGTTTCTTCATGAATTTGTTGTGTTAGCAATGACTTGAAAGTCTGGAAGTGTATGAAGACCCAGTTTTTCATTTACAAAGTCAGCGAGTGTATCATGCCTAGTGTTTTAAATTATTTTCAGATTTAAAAGTTGTGTAATGTATTCCAGCCTTTAATGAATGATGAAAAAATATCACCTACATCAACTGCATGTCACAGATTTACTGTATTTTATTTCAAATTGTCAGTTGTCACTGTGTTACATTTATTTGCGGACAGCGAGGTCTTCCTTTAGCTAATCTGGGGGTCCTGAAGTCTAGTTTGGACACATCTGTGGCGGCTCTAAATGCAATTGCTTCACAGCCTCCGCTCATGGGAAATGTAGATCCCTCTAAAATTGATGAGATCAGGAGGACGGTGTATGTCGGCAATTTAAATTCACAGGTATGTGAAAATGAATTGAATTCATTCAGAGGCTATCTGCAAGTGCAAATAGTGTTAGATACTATTTATACTTGTATAGTGGCAGATAGTGTATTTGGAGTACATTATAAAACAGTATGCAATAAGAACACCACATCCAATTTCACGTATATTAGGCACTGTTTCTGATTTTTGAATATTTACTTCATGATTTTTTATTATTAATTATTTTATTTTCACTGATATGCAATGGAAAAGGGAGAAGAATGGGAATCCACTGTTCTTAAGACCCCGATATACTTGAAGAACGAACTGGTGTGACATAATTTAAGAAAAAAAGTCAGACCAAAACAAGTCACCCCAGCATAATTGCCACTACATGAGAAATGTGGTGGATGGATGTAATTAAAGTGGGCATCTAAAATGACATGATTCACTTTTGTCTTTCAAGCATGTTGCTCTTGTTCTGCCAATCTCCTGTAGAGCACCACAGCAGATCAGCTCCTCAAGTTCTTCAAGCAAGTGGGAGATGTTAAGTTTGTTAGAATGGCAGGAGATGAAACCCAACCTACACGTTTTGCTTTTGTGGAGTTTGCTGATCAGGAATCAGTGTCACGAGCGCTTACATTTAATGGAGTTATGTGTGCCTTTATCATTATAGTTGTGGTGTGGACTCTGCTATTCTTTAATATTGAGAATGATTTTTAGAACTATATCTTTATCGTCTTCTTTATAGTTATCGTCCTTGGTGTGAATGGGCCTTTAGTGCCTTTCCAAGATATTCTGTGAAAATGAGTCTTATAATACAGTTTTATATCGATGTATAAATTTAGTTGGAAGAATAATTTTTACTGGGGAAAAGTTAAATTTATTTTTTATTTTTTATAGAAGTTAGCTTGTGTGCTTGGATAAAAATCATTTTATTTTCCTTTATCTCACAGAGTCCATAAGAAAAGAAGCAGATCCCGATCCAGGTCACCAAGGCGGAAAGCCAGGTCACCATCACCATCAAAAAGGTTTACTGAGTGTGACAATTTGTCTGACGCTGTTGTACGATCAGACTCATTATTAAAATCTTGATTTCTTCTGTGCATTTTCAGAGGCAAGAAAGATAAAAAGAGGGATAAAGGACGGGACAGTAGCAGGGAAAGGACAGAAACCTCAACATCCAGGAGGAAAAGCAGGGATTATGAACATAAAGCTAAACCATCACTGGTATGTCCAATTCATATTTCAAATACATAGCTCATGTACATTTACACATTAAGCTTTATTTATTTAACACAAGCAAAATGACTTGGTTATTCTGGTCTGAGGTTACGTGAATTCACACCAGCACAAGTACTTTATGACTTATAATGTTAATAGCACCATGTAAGTACAGTCACTTTATTCATGTTGTGGTTTTCATGAAACTACACCATTACCAGTTACAGCTAATCTCTGGAGGCGTGTGGACTGACGGTTAGAGCAGTGTGCTGCTAATCAGATTGTGGGTTTGGTTATGGGAGAAAAGCTAAAGTCACAAAGTCTTCTTCCAACCAATGTCAGTTTCTTATGTACTCAATTTACTGGATTAATAACCAGTTTGCATTGATACTATTATATTATATTGCTATTATAGCTGCATATTGAAGTGATAAATGGAAACTCTCTACCTTTAATGCTCATGTTGAGGGACTCATTGCTCCCCATGCATCTCAAAGAGCGCACTGTGTGGGTTTAGTTGAAATAATTTGCACAACATGTAACTCAGCTGTATATCAGCGTGCTGCTCTAGTTTTTATAGATAAGAAACAGATGATCACAGCTGATCCTCTCAAAGATTGACTTTTAAAGTGTTTTTCACGCCTGTCTACCTCTGATAACCATCAATATGTCTGTTTTAACCGTAAAGCTTTTCTATTTCCCCCAAATCTTACATCCTTTTGACTAAGTGTGAACTGTTCTAGTTTTTTTTTTTTCCTTTGACATTTTTGCCATCCGAGGAAAACATTTTTGTCATGGTACATTAAAACGTCAGTCTGTAGTGTTTTACTAGTTTTCTTGATTTCTATGCATTTATGTGACTTTTATAAATATGATTACTGTATAATATTATGATATATATTTAAAATGTTGGGGTAAGATTGATTTTATGTAGTTTGATCAGTAAGATTTATTTTAATGTTTTTGAAAAATAGCTCTTATTTTCACCAAGGCTGCATTTAATTGATCAAAAATACAGTAATTTTAGTAGTTAAAACAGATTTGTCTTTTAATATATTTTAAAATGTGATATATTCTTGTGATGGCAAAGCTGAAGTTTCAGCATCATTACTCCAGTATTCAGTGTCACATGATCCTTCAGAAATTATATTAATGCTGCTTATCAATGTTGAAAAGATGTGCTGCTTAATATTTTTTTGGAAACTGTGCTACTTTTTTTCAGATTCTTTGATGAATAGAAAAAAATATCATTTATTTGAAATAGAAATCTTTTGTAACATTCTAAATGTCATTACGGTCACTTTTGTTCATTTTAATGCGTTGTGGTAGAAATTCCCCTATGCGCCTAACTTAAAGGGGTCATATGATGCTTTTTTAAAGATCATTATTTTGTGTATTTGGTGTAACAGAATATGTTAAATCTTAATGGTCATCACTATGGAAATGTATGTATTTTCAACCCTGATTCTACATCTTTTTTTTTTTCCTATTTCTAACTGTGTCTAGTGGCCTTTTGCTCGTTTCCTGTGTTTTGAGGAGCCTGCATCTGCGCTGGCATCTCTGCTCAACGGTCTGGCATGTCTGCTGATGCTGCTGAGATACCGCAGCGCCGTCCCTCGACAAAGCCCCATGTACCACACCATCACCGCCTTCTCACTGGTGAGACAGTGTCTGTCTGCTAATATTAATTCCAATAATTCCAAATTATTCCAAATAAAAAATAAAATAAAAAACACAATAAATGTAGTTTAATTTATTGTAGTTTGTGATGTAGTTTAAAAGTTGCATAAGTACAGTTATTCAGCAACCACAATTGCAAACAATATAGTTAAGATCCCTATTTAGATTTATAACAGTTCGTCACTGAGAAGGTTTGCTTGGCCTCATGAAAGAATATTAACTGGCCTTATTACATTTAACATGAGCAGAATAGTGCATTAAGATCGCTAAACTCCACATTTTTTCAGTGTTTTGAGGTCATCAGCACTTTTTTTTGCAGTGCAGACTAGAGGGAGCATGTGTGCATGGTTGCCAGGTTGGGATTGATTAAGAGAAAATCTCTGACTGGGGCATTTAAACTCTTGACATCTGGCAACCCCAAGCATGAAAGCTCATGGAGGCTTTATACCAATGCAAGATAACAGCAATGTCAAATGAAAAAAAAAAGAGAGGCATAACTCATATTTGATGTTAGGTATGATTAAAAATCAAAATCAAATCAAATTTTAAACAGTCATTTTATTGCATTACTTTAATTTTCAATAAGTAAGTAAAGATTATTAGGAATTTTCACTATTTCTAGGTCACCAATCAAATTATTGACACTGATCATGTTGTTTAGATGGTCACATACTCTTTGGAACATTCTGAAATCATGCTGGATCACATGATCATCAGTTTTGTTCATGGCATCTCCAGTGCTGTTGTCATTAAAGGGGTCATATATGATGCTTTTTTTAAAGATCATTATTTTGTGTATTTGGTTTAACAGAATATGTTGACATGCTTTAATGTTCAAAAAACACATTCTTTTTCAAATACTGTACATTATTGTAGGTCCTCTATGCCCCGCCTCTCTCAAACGCTTCGTTTTCTACAAAGTCCCTCCTTCCGACAAGCGTAGTCTGCTCTGATTGGCCAGCTTACCCAGTGCATTGTGATTGGCCGAACACTGCAAGCACTCGTCGGAAATGTAACGCCCCTTACCATAAACGCGAGTTTCATCTTTCAAAATAAATTTAAAGACAGAGCCCGAAAGGGTAACAGAGACAGACGAAGCTGGTAAGCTGGTATGTGTTTGCAGTACACAAGCCACGATTAAGACAGCTGACTCCACTGTGATAATGTGACCCTCTCTCTCTCTAGTAGCTGATTCAGAAGCGCCAGATTGTCATAGCAAAGTCAGAATTACCTCCTCTCCTAGGTTCACGAAACGGTCGTCCATAAAATGCATTGCTGTTCTGTTGTAAGTGATCTTAAAGATTCCTAAATGCATCTACTTTCGGAAGGCCAAATAAAGTGCTTTTGCTTTCGCCTAGAAACACACAGCGTCTCCCTGACATGCTGCTTCAACACTAACTGCGGTTACTGAAACCACGCCTTCTTTCTTTGCGTGCACATTTGGGCGGCATTATGCAAATATTTCCACATAGTGAGGTAGATATGTGGGGGCGTGTTAGAACAAGCCGTTTTAGGGGGGCGTGGCAGAGTCTTAACTTTGATTAAGAATATCTCTTTGGTTTTGAGACTTTAGTCTTTGCAACTTCAGGGATCTTATCTATGCACAATTAGCTTGTAACACTCCAAAGAGAAAGCAAAACTTGAAATCGCATCATATGACCCCTTTAAGTTTACCTGAGGGCATCTACTGGTGACACCCAAAGTGTCTCCTGGCAACACTAACATAGTTTATGCTCTAGCACGTCTACTGGCGACACCCTACTGTGTTGGACAACATCTTGCCCCTTTTGAGCACTGTAACTCGGGACTAAGATCTTTAGTGTTCCACTAAGGCTAATTACACACTACACCAGTGAATCTCAACCTTTTGGCGTACCGGACCCCAGTCCAATTCAGAACCATCCTCAAGGACCCCCAGAACAAAATTGACTCGTATCATTTGTGTCTTTGTGAGGACCAAATGCAGTCAAGTATAATTCAAGTTAGCTGACTTGTCCAGTATTTGGCCATATCATCAGCTATATTGGATTTTTCTTTCATGGGAACATGTCATGTCAAAATATGCTAAATTTATACAAAAATTCATACTTTATATGGACCCCCTAGCCTTATGTCAAGGACCACTAGGGGTCCACGGACCCCTGTTTGAGAGAAACTGCACTACACGACTTAAAACGTTGGCAGATCGCTGTGCTGTTCAGACTACATGACTTGATTGTCTGTCTTTAAGTCGTTGTGGTGTTCACACTACGTGACTATGTAAATGATCCGCAACCGGGGGTTACACACTACATGAGCTGACAACAACTCTGTCACCCAACGACTCTACAAACTACGTTTTGTCACGAAAACACACACAAGAATTGGAACGGGAATGACGCAAAACAACACGTGAAACAGGAGTTGTTTATTTGAAAATGGATGTCGGGAAGAAATTAGCGCTGCAAGCTGTTTGCTCGATGAAAAATGTTGCTCCATTTATTGTGTCTAAACTTTTCTTTAAAGGGATACTCCAAAATGAAAATGTTGTCATTAATCACTTTACCCCCATGTCGTTCCAAACCCGTAAAAGCTTTGTTTGTCTTCGGAACACAATTTAAGATATTTTGGATGAAAACTGGGAGTCTTGTGACTGTCCGATTGACTGCCAAGTAACTTACACTGTCAAGGTCCAGAAAAGTATGAAAGACATCGTCAGAATAGTCCATCTGCCATCAGTGGTTCAACCGTAACGCTATGAAGCAACTAGAATACTTTTTGTACGCGAAGAAAAATAATGACTTTATTCAACAATTCGTCTCCTCTGTGTCTCTCCGCATCACTGTAGCGCCATTTTGGAGAATATCCGCTGAACGCAAGCAGCTTACACTATTGATGCACTGTTTTCGTTCAAATCAAAGTGTAAATACACTTAGAAAACGTATCCTTGTGTCGCGGCTGACTGAATAGCGTACGCTGCTTGCGTTCAGCGGATATTCTCCAAAATGGTGATGCGGAGAGACACAGAGGAGACAAGTGTCATTGTCATTAAGTGATTAATGACAAAATTTTCATTTTGGGGTGCAGTATCCCTTTAAGCCATGTTGCTGCTGCTGGTGTTGTTTTTCTTCCGGTGACCTCAACCCATGCATTGCTCTCTCATTGGCTGTAGCTCGTCACAACACCTGACACCACGTGATGTCGAGTCGGCCGACCGGTCCAGATATTTGGCATGCTAGATATTTGTTTGCCGTTGGCGAGGTGTCAGTGACGCGTCAGCGAGCCTCTTTGATGCGATGTTGAGTAGTTCACACATAAAGATTGCAGAGCGCCGATCACCCGCTGATTTCCCCCCGATCACAGCCCGACCTAAAATCGGGCTAAAATCAGGCTTAAAATCCAGTAGTGTGAACTTAGCATAACCTGCTGTTCAGCGGTAACCAGAGAGACTCCAGACAGTGCTTTTGAATATGCTTTAATCATGGCCCGGAGGACCTCATACCAATCACAGAGAATCCCCCCGATAAAAAGAATACAACAGTTTATATAGCATAGGTGCCCGGCAAAATGACATGATTCATTTCATCATTTTTTGTAATATATTGTTTTTTCATATGTGCAATTCAGCAAACCTCCCCTCTGTTACTGGCAAAACAAATTTGTTTTTTGATTACTTCAGCTTGTTACTCAAGTCATAGGTTATTATGGTTATTTTTATATACTCCTAGACTTCTAGACGCCTTGTAAATGAGCATTCTTTATTGCAACACACTAAGTAACTGGCTCAAGTGTTAAGGACATTTAATACTCAGAAGCATACAAATGGTAAGCCTGAAAGAAAAAGAAATATGTGACCCTGGACCACAAAACCAGTCACAAGGGTACATTTTTTGAAATTGAGATTTATACATCATTTTTACTAGCTGAATAAATAAGCTTTCGTTGATGTATGGTTTGTTAGAATAGGACAATATTTGGTCGCGATACAACTATTTGAAAATCTGGAATCTGAGGGTGCAAAAAAATCGAAATAAAAAAGTTTTGATATATTTACAGTAGGAAATTTACAAAATATTTTCATGGAACATGAACTTTACTTAATATCCTAATGATTTTTGGCAAATCGCCTTTCCTAATAGCGTGCTAGTTAGCAAGTTCCATGGCTTAAGTAAACAGTATCATGAGAACAGCTCGTCACCGCACGGAAGACAGGGGCGGGCTGAGCAGAGCTCATTAGCATTTAAAGCACCATGAACTAGAACCGCGTGCTGAAAACAGAGCTGATTTTGACAGGGTAAAAGGGTGTTTTTTACACTACCATTGAGAAATTGTAACTTTTAAGCATGTTAGACTTTTCATTAAGGTCCTAAAGAATCATATCAACTTGTGCAAAAAGGGCATCCGATGACCCTTCTCAGTTTTTTCTTTGTGCGTCTGCTTCACATAGAATGAACGAAAAGCTGGTATCTGTCCTTTGGCCCACCACTCCACAGAGTAACAGACGCTTGAGACAGAGCTGCTCCAGGACAGACTAAAACTGTTGTTGCCGGTTATGTTGACAGTGAATGGCCCAAACGAATCTAAAAAATTGTAAATAATACATAGCATTAATGACAGCAACGTGGCAAATTTCCTCATTCGGTGTTTATATATACAGTATGTTTACTCATTGGACATGAGGCTAACCAGAGTAGTCTGCATGTAGCATTTAAGAAAATATGAAAAAAATTTACCCCTCCATTCGTCCATTTGCTCGATGGCTATACTGGAGACAGGAGACGATCCAGCACTGTTTAAAGCCCTGATGCTGATGTTATATGCAGAGTAAGACAGGATCAGGGTGAGAGATGAATCTTCAGAACTGAAACTGTCCCGATTGCTGGGTTCCCCGGATACTTTCCTCACTGTCACACTGTAGTTAGCCACAGCCTCACTGTTTGCATACTAGGAAAAAAAGGGATGATCATCCAAAAAAATAAAAAATCCTGATCCCTATCAGAATTTTTATTGCAGTTTGGAACCAATCTTAAAGGAATCTGGTAACACTTTAGAACACTGTTCCTTCACTAACGAATAACTACACAGGAACAAATGAGTAATGCAATGTTACCATTCTAATAACTAATATTAGCATGCAGTAATTCACGACTATCACGTTTCTGTTCAGTTTCGGTTTCCTTAGCCTGGACTTTTCGTTTGTAATTCCCTTCTTGCTTGTGTTTCCCTTTGTTCCAGTTTGTAGTTTGTTTCCACGGTTACAGTACTAATTACCCTCACCTGTGCCTTGTTTAGCCCTTTGTTATCCTATGTATATAAACCCCTGTGTTTCAGTAGTCTTTGTTGTTGCTGTCTTTCCATGCAGTGTGCGACGCTGTTGTTGAATTATTCTCTTCTGCGTCTTGCTGGATTACCTCATTTGTTTATTGAAAAAATTGCTTGTAAATAGATCTTTGCCTCTACTGCTCTTTCTCCTGGAACAAAAAAAGCAACAACTACTAGCTATTCAGTAACTATTTGTTCATACCTCCCAGGAAAACTATTAAGAAACAATATACAATTTAATAATTTGTGTGAAACTAGTCAATAAATTAACCTTTTTACCAGTACTTTAATATTTAACCACTAATAATCAATAGGTAATAGCAGACTTATGATTTGGATAAGCTGTTAATAATTAGTACATTTCATGAGTCCTCTTACAAAACCGTTTACTAAAGATTGATAATGGATTTTAGTTTCCGAGACCTTGGGGAAATCATTTCTCTTAACTTCGTCCTTTTTTGTAGTCATTTTGTTGTAAATTATTATTACTAGGTTACTTAAAGAAAAGATATCTTAGGTCCACACTTCTCACCAAATCACTGGAGAGCCGTAAAGACTATTGGAACCTTTCGAGTAATTAGTCATACCCCAAATGCCAGTGACTAATTTAACGTACCTTGCAGAAAGATATGCTTATTTGTAAGGCTTCTACTTCAGTCCTTTTTATTATTATGAATGGTTAGAAGATTCTATACTTTAGGATTAGGTTTTCTTTAATAACTATTGTAATAATGATGGTAGCCCTAGTAATGAATGACTCAATTGTTACCAAATCCTTCAAAGGGAATTACTATCCAAAACCTTACAAAAACCTTAAAAGCTTACAAGAACTTCAAACATTACTAGGGAGCTATCATGTAGAGTACTGTACCGAAATAATTAGTAATTCTGTCTGAAGGATTTGGTAATATTTGAGTAATTACCATGATCATCACTTTAGAAACAATTATGCATTATTCACATTTATAATGAAACTGTATATAGTTTTACATTACATTTAGTCATTTAGCAAACACTTTTATCTAAAGATGTGTGTCAGCTATAATTTTTTTTCATAGTTATCAGTCATAATTATTTACGAGTATTTTTACTATGAGAATATCACTATGAATTAATTATGAGAATATATTTCAAATTATTAAGTAAGTGGATGTCAGAATGTGCAGTTATTTGTTTAGGAAATAAATAATAAATGCCTGACCTCTTGTCAGATGGCTGTTACTGACCTCTTTCCACTTTGTAGTGTTGAACTCTCTGTACTTAACAAGGAAGTTTTTAATATATTTGCTTTCAGTTCCCCACTCCACCCAAACAGTCAGATGGCCTGAGCTTCTTTTGTAAGTTAGTTTTGAATGAGGACCACACATTGCTGAAATGAAAGAAAACGTTAAACATTGCAATGCAGAATCACATACTAATATGCAGAAATTTCGGTCTGGTAAAATAATTTTCAAGCAGCTTTAACTAATATTTGAAGTTCTAGTACCTACTATTTAAATCAGTATATTTAGATTAAGATCAGGGTTTCGATACAGTTAAGATTTTAATGAATTAGAAGTAACTAATATTAATATTGTTGATTAACATACTCATCATGGATGGAATTCCACTGAAATTTTTGTAGGTGCACGAGAGCTGATCTTTACTGGTTGCAATAACATGAGCCGTCATATTCCAATCTAAGACAGCAACAAAGTAATTGGAAGTCCAAATTTTGTCCTTCTGATGTACAGCTATACAACTACATGTTCTCCTACACAGGAAACAAAGAGTGTGGATTGTTAAATAGAATTACCAGTTATCAAATAAAGAAGACGTTAACTTTTAATTGTGATATGAGGATTAAAAAAAATCAAACAACAGCAATAGTGTGAAGCTCAGCCTCAGACTGCAAACAGAATAAAGTTAAAATCATCAATTTGTCACTTCTTACATAAACTTACTGTTTTGTGTACAGCGTGTATGAGGTTGACATGTTTCCTTTCCATTCACAGATGGACATAAGTTTATGTTTGATATATTTTATGTAGCATGCCAAATCAGAGACTCCTGTGAGATGAGAAATATCCACTGATAATATAAACAAAAAATTATGTTGCCACTTGCCACAAATACAGTGCAAAATAGGACTTGAAAGTCTTAAAAATGAAATGTAAACAAAGCATTTGTCCAACTCCTGAGGTCTAAACTAGAGCCCGACCGAAATTAGTTTTTTGGGGCCGATACGATACCGATATTAGGGAGTAAAAAAAGGCAGATACCGATATATCGGCCGATATTCTTTGTGTATATTATAGTACAGTACCAGTCAAAAGTTTGGACACTTTCCCATTCGTGTCTCCAAACATTTGACTGGTACTATATATAGAATACAGTATATACATAAACAGAATATATATATACATAAACACATTTTTTGCAATGATCACTCAAATGTGGTGATCAAACACTTATAATGGTGACAGAGATATGTAAGGGCATTTAACAATTTAACAATAAACTTGCGATGAGTGCGATGCACAAAGGGTGTTAGTTGTAACACACGTGGTTTGAATATTTATTTTACCATAGTAACATTTAAATTCTGGCTTAAGTAAATTTTTTATCTCAGTTTTTATTATTCATTTAAAATGAGACAAATCTGCTATTATTTTAATCTCCAATCTATTATTTATCAGTTCAGATAGTTTTTTAATGCTTTGATTACTAGCAGAAGACACTAACCAGTTTTAAATTCCAGTTGCGCAGATGAGGCATGTTGTGACACTGCGTTACAATGTGCTATTCTATGACATTAGCGATGTAATTTACACTATTTACTTTAATTAATTTTAATGAGAAACAACGAGAAACAGGTGAATAAAGACTGACAGTCAACTTTTAATGTTTAGAAATTATTATTTCAAGACATGTAAAGCATTTTTGCTTGTTTATGTGGGCCGTTCCAAGCATGGTTGCAATGTGTTCATTGTCAAACTCCAAAATAGGATTATTTTTAATTCTTAAAAAACGCCATTATTTTATTTAAACAACAAAAAAAATATAATAAAAAAAAAATATATATATATATATATTTATTAACAAAATATTTTAGTTTGTCTTGTATATTTTACCGATATATCGGTGACAGGCTCATATCGGTCGATAATATCGGCAAAACGATATATCGGGCTCTAGTCTAAACCATTTTATTTTCTATATTTAAATAAAAAAGCAAGAAAATGAATAAAAAAAGAATGAAAAAAAAATGAGAAATAGGATTTGAAATAACAGAGTAAATTAAGCTGCCACTATTTTGACAACAAATGTTGGTTTGTAGTCATTGATAAACTAACAGGGCTGAATGTAGAGCTTGTGAATGCAGTCAAAACTTTTTGAGTAAAATCTGAGAACATCTGTTGAGATTGTCAAAATTATGACATGATGCTTTATAATTTTAATTGTTAAACAGTCAAAAAGGTTAAGCGCTAACTTACACTTTATATTATATAATAGTTCATCTGATAACCTAGTTAATAGAAGAAAAAGAATGATAAAAAACTCGGGTGGAATGTCAGAAACTAAATTCACTGTCCTTACTCTCCACATAACTGTCCCATTTGTCAACTTGGTCTCTTTTATAATTTCCTCTGGCTCAATTAGACAATAGTGGGCAGCATTAGTGTAAACAGACTTTGCCAACCAGATGGGCAATTTGCACTTACTGTAAATAGACTCTACAAAGAAGAAAACAGCAATCCTTCAATTTTATAGGGCAACCTGAACTGTGCGCCTCTTCCATACAATAACTGAATATATTTTATTGGACATTTGTCTTGACACATTTTCATAAGCACAAAACTTTCAATTTAGTGGTGATATAAAACCTTAAGATGTGTCAATGTACACATTGTACACAATAAAAGTATCAAAAGTATCAGGTGTGTTATTTATTCATGTTACACAAAGAAAAAGTAGACTATTCGATTTTACTCCAATTTACTGGATAAAAAGACATAGCTTACATAGTGGAAATCTTAATTTCTTACCTTCTGTGTTGCTACATTTATCTTTTAAAAAGTTCAAGTTTTCACGTCTGCAGTTACAGGATCCTGTGTACAATGATAAGCTGAGTTAAAAGTTTTTTTTTTGGTTCTCTTCTAAACAATGGCTATAGGCTAAGTGCCTGAAAAAAGAGACGTTTGTAAGTTCCACAAATTGTCTTTATTTTACTTGAAAACGTGCCTTTGTTTTCTTTTTCTAAAAATCGTAAAACTTGTTTATTGTTTACAGGTTTAAATAGAAAAAACATTTTTGTTTCACATTTCACATTTTCAATATGGTTTCAGACCCAAGTGAATGTAAACAGACACAAACACGGCCCGCATACTGACCTGTTGACGCTACAGTTGTCCAGAGAGATACGAAACCTGAAATTAATAAACCTACTGAAATTACCTATCACTTCAGCAACCATACGAATGAAATGTAATACTATACCATAATTTTGTTAAAATACTTTAATAAACCTACTGAAATTACCTATCACTTCAGCAACCATACGAATGAAATGCAATACTATACCATAATTCTGTTAAAATACTTTAAACACACACACACACACACACACACACACACACACAGTCTGGTCAGCTATCCTTGTGGGGACTCTCCCAAGGCGTGATGCCGCATACTGACCTGTTGACGCTACAGTTGTCCAGAGAGATACGAAACCTGAAATTAATAAACCTACTGAAATTACCTATCACTTCAGCAACCATACGAATGAAATGCAATACTATACCATAATTCTGTTAAAATACTTTAAACACACACACACACACACACACACACACACACACACACACACACACACAGTTAAAGCACATACCTAGCGTAATGTAAAATGCAGCCGAGCACTTGCGCATTGTCGCCTCCTCTGACAGTCTGCTACTCAGGCAGCCTACCAACTAACGGAACAGTACGGGGTATTCCCTTCCCATCACTTATGAAACTACAGCCCAACAGGTGCTCTTGAACTCTCATAGGCTGTCTCAGAACCTAGAGAACTGCCTACCTCGAGAGCATAAATCGGTAACGTTTAGGCACGGCGCAGCATTTTTGGCCATTATATAGTAGGCGTTAAACGACGCTGCCAAAAGCTGATTCGCCACAGCATTCAGACACTTCTGTGTTCTTGGAAACGTGCCCTTTTATTTATGTCTCAAAGCCGGAATAGTTGTTGTGACTCGCCCTCAGAACAAAACACAAAAGAAAATCGCTGAGGAAATGGACAAAACATTTGAAGCATTCTTTAATATATATATATATATGATTAAATTATGACAGAACTTTCAGGGAAAACTGTAGCTTTACTTTTTGTAGTCTGACAATTGTTTATGCACAGTCAAATTGAGGCTCCATACACTGTGGTAGCAATCTGTGCCACCATAGCCATAGAGTAACTGGACGTTAATTAATCCTCTTCAGTATCAAATTGCAATGGAACTGACCTATACAGAGGTTATGTGCAAGAAAAAAACAGTTTCACTTCTGCAAACTCAGAATAGAACTAGCGTGCATTGTTGAATTTGGCAGAGGCAAGTCTCTTGAAACTTGAAATCACTTCTGACTCGAGAACTTTCCTTTTAATTTTCTCACTGAACTGCAGTTTTGTGTCAACCCTTAAAAAAAACTGCATTTTTATAGCAAATATTGATTTATTGTACTATTGCAAAGAGTGAGATGTACAGACTAGTCTTTCATTTTTCATGGGAGACCAGAGGAGTGTTGTAACACATTGTATCGTGCTGTGTGCGTGCGTGAGTGTAACTTTGATATATGTTTTTTGATAAAGAATGTTTGATATATGTACAGTATATCAACAACTATAACGGATAAACGAATATAAAAACAGATAACCAACAATACAGATACAGTTATGTGATTCTTTAACATATTTACAAATTAAATGGTATGCCAAAGAACTTTTAGCTGTCTAGCCTTTAAAGTTCTCAAGTAAGTTATAGATACCACCATTAAATAATCATTGTTATTATATAACAGTTAAATCGGACAGACTTCTTTTTTATATATATTATTACAGACATTAAAATAAGCCTATATGATATAAACTAACTTTATCAATATGACTTTAATCTTTTTACCTCATGGCAAAATTCAGTTTTTGTTTACTATGTTCACATTTGAAGTGCTGCATAACAAGTGCAAAATGTGTGGTGGGAACTTGCCTTTTTAAGGGAACCAACACTTTTCTTAGATTACTCTAAGGCCTTGAAACTTTTGAGAAATGAGTGAACGTTTCAGATGACAGATCTCAGAAAACCAAAGACGAACTGTTAAGTCAGTTCACTTCCTTGCTTCTGTTGAGCTTTCCAGGAAACATATTTTCAGCCTGATGTATGGACCACACATTCTAAAGTTGACTGAATTCTCTGTCTGAAAGCGAGTCGATTTTACTAGTAAACTGCACGTATGAAGTGAATGAAGACATTTCATGCTTATAAATATCAGAGTACCATTGTTACACAAACAAGTCCAGTGCATAAAACAGCACAAAATCAGGATAAACAAACAGTTTTATCTAAATAATGCATTTGGCAGTTACTAGACATACTGTACTGGAGAATATGTGGTATGAGCTGTGAGAAGTTAAATATCTCTCTCTTTCTCCTACATGCACACACAGGAAGAGACATGTTCACACTTCAGAGACTTCAACGTTAGGAGGCCCAGCTTAGGAAACACATTGCAGGGTAACACTAAAAGCTTGTCCTCCTTAACAGCATCTACACATTCCATTTATCAACACAGAAAAGACATCCAAGCAAAAACCCAAACCTTGACATATACACTGTCTTACTATTTGAATAAGATTGGCTGTGTATAGCTGGAGACCTGCGATGTTGTTTATGTGTACGGAAAAACACATATGTACACATAAGTAAAGAGAGTTTTTACCCAGCTTGCTGCTAACGGCACGTGGAACGTGTTTTTGTCGCAGCGCGAACCACACAGTGATCAGTGGGTTTGATAAAATTTGTAAGAACATCCTTTCAGTTTGTTTACATAGCAGGGCACGTTCTGAGAAATGAACTTGAGCATGATTGAACATTTTTTTAAATATATTTCCTTTACATATTTCAACTTTGTTCCAACGTGTGGGTAAAACACATATAGAGCAGTCAAAGGGACATTCACAGGAAATTGGTCATATATTTAGAGTAATGTACAGCACAGTTTTAAAATCCCCCACCTGTATGTTTATCAATACTTTTACCACTCATTGCTTTGATCACCTGACGCATGGAAGACGACGGCCTTGATCCTTGATTGAGATAAGAGTGTGTGGGCTGTTTTGCTCTGTGTGACATTGTTGTAAAGGTTGAGACTGAATCAACGTCTTTTCAGAATGATACAAGGATAGTGAGATGATAATGAGAGTGGTGACAAAAAAAAATCCATGTTAACACATACGGTGCATCCAGAAAGTATTTAGACCCTTATTTTTTTTGCGCTGCAGCCATATGCTAAAATGCATTCAATTATTATTTTTCTCTCTCCACATGAACTATTGCTCTGATATGCATTTTTAGCTGTGAGACCTCATAAGTGTGCCTTTCCAAATCAAGTCCAATTGATTGAATCAGCCACAGGTGGACTCCAGTCTAGTGAAGAAACACCTTCAAAGATGATTCAGAACAATGTGATGCACCTGAGCTATATAGCAAAGCGTCTGAATAACTTTGTGATATCTCAGTGGTTTCTTTTTAATAAATTTACTTTGTTATTGTGGGGTGTAGCGTGTATACTGACATGCTTTTTTCAAGTTTAGCATAGGGCTACAACAAAATGTCAATAAATAATTAAATAAATAAAAGGGGGTCTGAATGTTTTCTAAATCAACTGTAAACATTGAAATTGCATATTCTTCCTTTTTCCATTGTGTTTTTATATTATTCTCAAAAAGTTGGACTATAGGTCATATTGGGAATATCACAGGCCATTCATATAGTTATAAAATCAAACTATTGTAGATGCACGCCATCTAGTGTGAAGTAAGTGTACTAACTAACTAACTAGATCACTCAATTCCTGGAGGGCCAGAGCCCTGCAGACTTTATTCAACCTTAATTAAACACACCTGATCCATCTAATCAAGTCCTTCAGGCTTATTAAAACTACATGGCATGTGTGCTGGAGCAGGGTTGGAACAAAACTCTGCAGGTCTCTGGCCCTCCAGGAATTGAGTTTGACAACCCCATAGTTCAGCTTTGTGATGTAAACGGTCACAGTACACAGTTGATGGTAACACTTTATTTATTTTGATAGTCCACTTTAGACATTTTGCTGACTATAAGTAACTTTGCAAGTAAATATCCCCTGCCAGTCATTAGAGCATTAATAGGGCTTAATATCTGCTAACGCAGTGGTTCCCAACCCTGGTCCTGGAGGCACCCCAACACTGCACATTTTGTATGTCTCATTAATCAAACACACCTGATTCAGGTCATCAGCTCATTAGTAGAGACTCCAAGACCTGAAACTGGTGCGTCAGAGAAAGGAGACATGCAAAATGTGCAGAGTTGGTGTGCCTCCAGGACCAGGGTTGGGAACCACTATGCTAACACTTTATTTTGATGGTCCCCAACAGATATTCTACTCTATAACTTTGCAAGCATGACAACTTATTCTACTAACCCTAGCATGTTAGAGTTGACATGTAGATACAAAGTTACTTAGTGGAATGCCTAAAGTGAACTATTGAAATAAAGTGTAACCAAAGCGTTTTTATTTGTTTATTTATTCATTTTTCTATATAAATGTTCCTTAAGTCTATATTGCAGTGATCTGATTTCAATTGTGGATCCAAATATAGCATTTAAATGTGTGCATGTATATTTCTTGAAATATGGTTGACAGAGCTACAGAGTGAATCTATAAATCTTGCAGTGGTTTATAAATGTACACTTAGTTATGTCAGGTGAGGTTCAGTTGCTGTAGCGATGAACAATAGACTGAATTATTGCTGATTAAGAGATCATAGAGCACATCCCACTGCTTTTTTAACACTTACAAGAAGCGTGGTTCTTTCAGCAGTCTGGGGATCCTAAATCAAAGGTTTGAGTACATTTTACCTGATGGTTTGGGAATCTCTTGGACAGGTTTAGTTTAATCTTTATGGACTAATCACAAGAATGATCATCTGAGAGCACAAGGCTCTATTTATAAAGCAGCTCCGGCCCTCCAGGAATTGAGTTTGACACCCCTGATAAAGCACAATGGCAACAATATTGTGTATTGTTTGAGCATGCAGTTACACAAAATCTGAAGAAGAAAAAAATGCCTGTGATCTTTTAAATTAGAGATTACATGGAATATCTGTGCTTATTAGGTTTTCTCAATCACTTTGTCTTAATTCTCTGTTTTCCCCTCAAAACAATAAAAACTGATGAGTTGATGCAAAATCATTCATTCGTTTAACAAAATCTGTCCGACACACATGTATATTCCATAAATATCTATGACATGGAATGTTTGTGATGTGTGCTAAATTGGCAAATGACCTGCCAAACAAATGAAATAGGAATCACATTTTACTAATCAACCAATAATTTTGGTAGCATGTACTGTATATGGAGCTTGTCATCATTTTGACTAAAATGACTGGTGTATTATAGTAAGCAGTGAGTGTCAACAGAAAATGAAGTGAACAAATTGACTTCCATGGTGAAAAATCATTAAACATTTTGATCAGTAGGACACTGGCCAATTTACTGACACAATAACTGGGTTTTGAAGCATGAATGAAATGCTTTGAGTGAGTTACTACGTACACATGCATTAGAGGAGTGGGTCCCAACCCTGGTCCTGGAGGCACCCCAACACTGCACATTTTGCATGTCTCCTTTCTCTGACACACCAATTTCAGGTCTTGGAGTCTCTACTAATGAGCTGATGACCTGAATCAGGTGTGTTTGATTAAGGAGACATGCAAAACGTGCAGTGTTGGGGTGCCTCCAGGACCAGGGTTGGGAACCACTGCATTAGAGCATAGGTCTTCAACCCTGTTCCTGGGGA